CTTTCGAAACATCTCTCCTTACATAATAATGAATAAATCAAACATTTCAGTAAATAAAACAAAATTACATTCGTGGAATTTAGACAAATTACGAATGTACTAAACAAAAAAATAAGACAAACTTAATTTGTATTTGAGCTTTAAAATCAATTAAGTCCAATTATTCTAAATTTAAACATCGACTAATCGATTAAAAATATCCAAACAATTAAAAGTATTCGTAGTATTCGATGAATATCTACACTTCCATTAGGCGATCAGCAATCGGTTCTATATACTATTCTATTCGATTCATTAAAAGTCACAATTCATTATATTTTTCGTCAGGCTCACGACTTCAATAGGGTTGTCGAGTGTCCGTTACAGACATATCGATGAACGATCTGAGATCTTATCGATACAATCATGCACAGTCACTTGACTATGGTGGTATCACGTCTTATTTTGTTACAGACATACCACATTATGCGTCTAATGTATGGGTTTTAATTTATTAATGTAGAAACTGGAATGTCGGGTTTTCAGGTAACTCATACGGTGGTTAAGACGTTTAGCCGAGGTGACGTACGTAAGTTGAAAGCTAATCAAAATGTTTTAATCGATGATGCGATAACGTTAGTGCTGGCATAAGGTAAATGTCGATGGCGTATTAACTCCATGACAAATTAAGACATCACACATATTAGCTTCAAGGATTAAATTTGACGTTCAGAACCGACATTACTTTCCGGTTCCCTATTATTTACTATGATTAAAAATTAATGTTTTTTTTATTAGCCATACTTACTACATTGTTGCTCCACTATAATGAAGCGCCCGTCAAAGCCACTATTTTAAACAAAATTGTAATTTTATTATTACATGACTTCGTTTTTTTTTCGATAATAGCTGTTATTTTTCTAAAACGTGTTATTCATAAACATTCGTTTATGAATATCACATTTAGAGTATTGTAATGTTATATTGCTATGATCAGATTCGGATGCGTAAATTAATCGATACACCTAAGTTACATCACTAAAGGTGAACGAATTCTTGGCATAATTTTAATTGATTCGTTATTTCTAAATTATAGATGATTGAACAACCATTACTTTAGTCTTTATCATCATAAACAATGTTTAATAGTATAGTCCACAATTAACTGTAATTTATTTAAAATAACAAGTATTTTTTTTTCTTTACAAGTTTCAACTTTAAATATGACCTAAGTTCTTATATTATTTTTATTAATAATATAAGATAATAAAACACAATGTTTATTTGTCGTTTGTGTGTTGTTTCTGAATAAACGTATTTCTATTTCTTCTATTACATTAACGGTTTTAAACATGACGCGTTTAAAATTGTTTGAAAATATTGTAAATACGGGCCGACGTTTCAGATGCTTTGCAGCAGCCGTGGTCACGGGGAGGCGGTTAACTCACACATGTCGTGTTTTAAACCTTTAAAGAGTTTTTTTAAATCTAATTAATATGTTATGAATTTAAATTGAATAACTATTCTTATCTTTACGTAATGTGTAGTTTAAAAGATCATACCTATGTAAGGACCAAGTCAAAATGATCAGTAAACGCTAACAGCCGTCGTAATATTATAATTATTTTCAAGAAGCAAAAACTTGAAGGAGGACATAAGAATGGTTTTACGTCGAGAGCTCAAGTATACTTCAAATGTTTTGTTTGACGAGTGTTGGCTCAGAACCCAACTTGACTCCAAGTAGACTATTCAGTTACTTAAGATAACTTGTTTGATTCTGCCGCTTTAGGCGCGGATTAAATAAAATAATGTAGGTAGTTTATGTTTGAACTTATCCTTAATAAATTATATTATTTAATAAATATAGGTATTGTATGTTTTATTAGCGGTATCCAGATAGAGATACTTTAGACAAACGCTTCGCCATCATAAAATTGTTTTAAAAAACTTTTCAAACAAGAATTTCTTTGATGCTCCTAGTATCCGATATTCTTTATAGTCAGAGATAATAAACATTTTTTGTTACAATTTCATAAATTCTTTATTTGTTTAGAGTGCCTTTGAGGTAGATTTTGTTAACTTGCAATTTTGTGTTTTATTGAAAAATATTGTTTACCTCCCTTTCACCTGCCTTTTTGGTAAAACCATCAACTATACTTCGTTACAGGATTCATTTTTGTAAAGAAATAGCGTAAATGCAATAATGCCTCTGTACAGAGGTGGATTTTTTTAAAATGTACAAACTCGAAAAAGTCACATAAATCGGCTTCTATACTAGCTAACTTGGGAAACGTTCTTTTGCTTATAAAGTCGAGAAACCAAATTGGATTACCGTAAACGTTTTTAGTAAGTTGGTCTTAAAAGATGGACACATAGTGTCGCTATCATTTTTTCAGATTATTAAAAAAAAAAATCTTTTTTACTTATTTTTTGGGTGCCTTGAATCGTTTTCAAACGCAACGGAAACTCTCAAAGATGAATAACGTTTCCATTAGTTTTATAATATTTATTTATTATTAATTAAATAAGCCTAAGGCCATCCTCGATAAATGGTCTAACTAACTACAAAACAAAACAAGCAACTCTTTATAATATTAGTTTAGACACATTACGTAAACAATTATTAATAGCTATTTAAATTGTTTTTATTGCTCGTTTTATAAGCAAAACCTTTAAAGGAACTTTATAAGCAAAGCAGATATCTTTCACTGTATCTAGCGTATACTGTCTGTAGTTTACGCAAGTAGTTGTATGTAACGTCTAGAAATAAAATAAACCTTTAAGGGACCAACTCTTACTTACCCCGGCCAGTTCTAGGCGATGTGCCCATGTGCTACCCTAGACAGACAGCCTCTAAATCAATCCAACTTCATGAATTTCAAATGCCTGAATAATACAACACTGCAACTCCCGTTTAACTAATGGTTTTTATTACGCCATTAATGTCAAAAACATTCGCTATTGTAAACAGTAGTTAGATTTATTGGGCGGGTATTCTAATACGCTTTACTTGTTGATGGAAATTAATATAAATAAGTCTGCGCAAGAGTAGCTTCAAGTAATATTTTACGCCAACAATGACACGATAAATTATAGTCTGTGGACACGTGGATGCATAGTGTATTACCAATGCGAGCAATAGGTAGTTGTAAACAAAGGTCTTTATTGCGCTTGTTTTTTAATGATATATTTAAATAGAATACTGGAGAAATGTCTTTAAATAAAACACTTTAACGGTTTAAAACGTGTACGGTCTCCCATGAGTATTTTCGTGAGCACGGCTGCACCAAAGCTTACGAAACGTCGGGCCGTAATTAAAATAACTTCCAAATAAGTTTAACTTATATGTATCCCGTTTTAAACCGTTAGTGTTTTATTTAAATGTGTACTACTCGCGTAAACTACAGACAGTATTGGCCGAATGTCTCCGAAAAATATAGTTAGTTTTATCCTCACTCCCTAGCCATTTAATCCAGGACAATATGCTGCCAGTGCATTTTTAAATTATGCCCCGTACCTTGCAGTAAATTTCATATAAATAAGTTCTATTTATAATAGAGGACAGACCAGCCGGGGATTCACTCGATGGTAGGCAACATACCCCAGCCATATAAGATATAAAGACGCACTGTCGCCCTATTTTGGTTTTGGATATTCGGTAACCCACAGACTGAAACGAAAGCGCGATTAAATTTCCCATCTTTTTCACATATGGTTCTCGGCCCTGATGGAATTTTTCCTACCACCTTTTACGTACGTTCTGCAATGGCAGAAAAAATAATACTGTAACAACATCCGTATGTAAAGCAATGGCTTTACATACGGATGTTGTTACAGTATTTTAAACTAAAGGAATTTAGCAACATAATACATACTGTCTATAGTTTACGCGAGTAGTACACATTTAAACGAAACACTTTAACGGCTTAGAACGCGATATATTAGTAAAACTTATTTGAAAATGATTTTTAACTTTCGCCCGACGTTTCGGATGCTCTGCAGCAGCCGTGTCTCCCCGTGACCACGGGTCCACTCATTTTCATATAAGTTTAACTAATATATCGCGTTTTAAACAGTTAAAGTTTTATGTAAACATAATACATTTTAGTACCTTCTTTAGTCTTTTCAGACTTACATTAAATGACGTTATGTTAGGCAGTATAGTATAATTGTTTAGTTTTGTCTTGGCAACATTTAAAAGCAAGAAGTACTTGATGGTGTCAAAAAACCCCACCACAGCACCTATATCTCTATATTACCCCAATCTTATCAGTTTAAAGTACTGTGTCTATCTACGTTTTCCTTATCTGTATAAACATGATGTTCCATATAAGCTGCCTAGAAAGCTGCAAACACGGAAACTCGACGAGCTTATTAATTAGTTGTCAATTCATTTCTTCAGCCAGGTGCTTGCGAATTGTTTGTTTAACACAATTACTACACGCACCTGTGATCTATTTAAAGACGAGCTTCGCTGTCGATCACACGCGCAATCTGCTTCATATTAGTACGTGAGATAGGAAACTTTTTATGCATGTATCTACGTGAAACCTGTATTTAAGCTATAGCTTAATTTTTCAGCTTAAAACTAAGGATAAGATTATTGTGCTTGTACGATGAGGTGATGTTTCTAACTTAGAAGATGCTGTAGTTCGATAACCGCATAATGCCGTCAGTTAGGTAGACGTAGATACGAATTTAATTACCCCCAAAAACAGGATAATCTCCGCCGAACGCTAATTTATTATCGCCCACACACATCCCCACCGTAATTCTAATCATGCGAAGCCTAATTCGCTAAATATTAGCCAAAATAGCGCGAAAATTGTTTTGAGTGCGCGCGCGCCGCTCTTGGCTAAGTGAACGTCAGTCGGTGCTCGCGCCTCCGCGGATAGGGCACGCTACGCCGCGAATTTTCGGTAACGAAATATCGATTTACAAGCTCGTAGATTTGTTGGCAAATGGAGTTTGTGTAGGTCCTGTTATGGTTGGGGTAAGGTGCAGGCGGTGATGTCGCGGTGATGCGGCCGGCCGTTGTCGCCACTTGCCTTCTGCTGCTGGCACCCATCACTGACTCTTGGTGGTAAGTGGACGGTGGCATGGATGTAGAGCAACTAGCACAAAAAACTGAGGACTTCTTATCCTGTATTTTAAAACTAACTGTATTCTAAAACTGTAAAACAATATGATATGTTTCGAAAAATGACTAGAAACAGTGTAACAAACCTCAAGATCAAACAACCAAATCAAAAATCATCTAGATCATAAATTATCTAGAAATATTATTTAATTAAAGAATTTATAGCTTCGGTATAGTGTTACTGAGTTAAACTAAGTTCTAAATAAGTTAAATAAATGCAAGACAAGTATTAAAAACTTGCTTTGTACATGTCATTTATTATATGATTGAGCGTGAATTTAATTCTTTTGTTAAATAAGTTTAATAACCCGTTAAACTTCGTACACGAATAAATATTTTAAAAGCTCAAAGCATAACTATAACAATATTTAAGATTAGTAAAAAAGCTCTCGGCTAACTACTACATCAAAAACTTTTAAATAGTAAAGCGCCTGAGTTTTTAAGAATTGAATTTTAAACGATTTTACAATTTTAAATTATAAAATCTCGTCATCTCTATATTCTGCACTAAGACAATATATAGGGTACTTTTGTATGTTTTTTGTAAGTAAAATTGAGTAGATAAACCGGGTTGTATTACATATTATTATAACACGTTGACGGCTTAAAACGCGAAATATACTAGCTAGCTAAGTAGAAAACTACTATTTCCCGACGTTACCGATTCCGTACAGAAGTCCAGGTCATCACTTAATCTAAGATTTAGTATAACCAATGCTGAGCTCAATATATTTTTAAGGGCAGTACAATTTTTCAATAGAAATGCCATATCCTGCATGGTAAAACCCAGGTTATCCATGGGTGTTTGGGGTGTTTCCCTGTTGGATTTTATTACGGGCCAAGAATATATGACCGCTGTGCAGTGCCCGACCAAAGCTTTGTTGCCCCGGGATTCGAACACAGGACCTCTCCTTGGGCTTCAAATAAATTAACTCACGCAAAGCATCTAACAAATAGATGCTATTTATTTCATATACATTATTAATAAAGATTATAAAACTGTACAGATATCTATAGATTGTTTGTCTGTCACTGACTCATATGTAAGAGTTATTGAGATCTGTGGTAAAAGTCCACAGGGAAAACCAGCCAGATGTCTTTCGCCGGAAATCCTTGTAATATCTTACCAATTGTAAGTTTCTCTCTTGTTTAATAAAGCTCTAAAATTATTATTAATAAGCAATTCGTAGCTTCGATTCCTTGCACAAGATGACTTGACATTAAAAAATTTACTTATATAATAAAAACAAGAATACCAATAATAATTCCTGGTTTGAATAAAACACTTTAACGGTTTAAAACGCGATATATTATTTAATCTAACATAAAGTTAATTATTTATGTCTTTTAACTAATATATCGCGTTTTAAACCGTTAAAGTGTTTTATTGAAATGTGTACTACTCGCGTAAACTATAGACAATATATACGTCTTGGTTTCATATATATCTAATTAGTTATATTAGTAAATCAGTTAAAATAAATTTTGCATCTCAAACCTGTCCCCATTGTATCGTCTCTTATGAAAATGGAATTGTGGAAATGGCTCTGTGTTCATAATTAGGTGTATACTTATATCTATATATTTTTATGTGTATATTTGTCCCTTTGTTGAGTATTAATTATTATTGGATGCTATTTGCACTTTTGTATTAAAACAATTTCGTAGCTCTACGGTTCTACAAGATCCGCCATCTTGAATTTTGGCTGTATTTATAAGATGTCACTTATATAAAATATAACACGTGCAAAATTATATTACTTAATTAAAACGGTTTTAAACGTGAAATATATTAGCTAACTTATTTATTTTCATCCATTCAATCCCGATGTTTCGGATGCTTTGCAACAGCCATGACCATCCGGAGACTCGGACCGCCCAAATAGAAATTAAGTATAAGGTTATTAAAATAATACGCGTTTCAAACCGGTAATTTTAGTAAAATTGGTACTCGTGTAAATTGCTGACAAACTTTGAACTGTATTGGAAAAATATTTATTTTGAAATAATACCTTTCGAGATTCCTAAATCCTTCGTATGTACCTATATAAATCTTATACTGCTATTTATTACTTGTACATAGCTGCTAACTATTAACTACGTCTAGATTTTGATTAGTTTGTTAATGATTCGCGGTAAATATTAATTTTATGTACAACTGCTAAATGTCAGAAGTTAATGAAACAATTAACACAGAGCAAGGATTCTGTGTCGAGTTGACAGATATAAAACTTATTATTTGACAAAATGCAATGAAAAGTCCTGTTTTATCTAAAGACATGTAGTGATAGTTTGTCAGACAGTTTTTTTGCCATTTCCGATCGAAATGATTAAGTTTCCCTGGTATTCAAACCCCGGTCCGTATAAAATAAAGGCAATGCTAGTGCGTTATTAAGCCACAGAGTATATTAGTTATACTTGTTATATACTTAATATTTTTCAACACATTGCACAATATTGCATTAAATAAAGTAAAAGTTTATTTACATTGGTCAATAAATAAGAGGAGCACCACGGAGCATCGTAGATCAGTACAAGTTCCGCCGGTCAAATTTTCAATCTAAATAAACTTAATAAAACACTTTAACGGTTTAAAACGCGATATATTAGTAAAACTTATTTGAAAATTATTTTTAACTTCGGCCCGACGTTACGGCTGCTGCAAAGCATGCGAAACGTCGAGCCGAAGTTAAAGTGTTTTATTTAAATGTGTACCACTCGCGTAAACTATAGACAGTATCTAAATAGACTTAATAAAACACTTTTAACGGTTTAAAATGCAAAATGTATCAGTTAACTTAATTTTTATGTAGTTATTAATTCTTATCTAAATAGATTTTTAATTTATATACCAGTTTTATACTTAGCCATATTCACCAATAAAGTATTTAAATAAATGGAAATAAACTTGAATGTTAATCAAAGTTACCACTTTTGAACGAGTAAATAACAAGTGTTATCATTACTTTTAACAGTTTAGTACTCTTAATATATTTTTTTTATAGATGAGGACAAAAAAGAGTTTACTTGCTCGAATATGAAATTCCTCCATAGCTTCCAAAATGTTAGTTAAAATTAAAAAAAAAATAAGTAAGCTTATATTTCCCGTTTTAAACTGTTAAAAGCGTCTTATGTAAACGAGTTCACATTGATAGATAGATCGCACAAAGAACATTAAAGTTATGATTCTCTATTTCAATACAGAAATGTGTAAATATGTCTTTTATTGTTTGATTTAATGTTTCACGTCAACACGGGATTGGCTGCATTACATAAATTATATCAACTGTCTGATTTATGATCGTAAAATCATTTTATGATTTATACCATATCGTTTACAGCACAAGATTGAACTTTATGTATAATGAAATAGAGATTAAGTTGCTACGAAGGATGTGGGTGGGATAGAATACTTTTTGAAAATGTCACTAAATTTCTATTCGTTGTTCTACCTCTAGAATTTTTATTCGACAAAAGGCTGTGTAGGCGTATTATCATCTATTTTAAAATAATCCTTTAAGTAAAAACATTTTTATCACATTCTGTGTCTGTTATAATATCTTTGAAATAGGCATAAATATGTCCGTTTTACTTACAAACTAATTATATTTCGGCGTCCTACGAGATGAAACAATACACGTCCCATATATAGATATATAGGCAAATCAGACTCATTTATGTTCTCTTATTAAGTCAATCATTGAACAATGGTAGGGAGGTGAAGTCCACCACGCCCTATAAAAAAATGTAATACAACTTAATGTAGGTATCATGTGTACCAATGTACACAAATTAATACCCTTTTAATTTTTTATAGGTACTTATCGAAATAACATTTTGCTTAAAATACTGTTTATAGTTTACGCGGTTCACATTTAAACAAAACACTTTACCGGTTTAAAACGCGATATATTTTAGTTAAACTTATTTGAAAATTATCTTTGACTACGGCCCGACGTTTGGATAATTTTCAAACAAGTTAAACTAAAATATATCGCGTTTTAAACCGTTAAAGTGTTTTATATAGACATTTTTCTTTTCAACGCCTGACGTGTACCTCAGCCTTGTAAGACTGATTACTTTATGTCTCTTTCACTAATGAATCTTCTATTAAATAGATCATTAAAATATGTTACCGGGATTCTATCCCAGGATATATCTTACTTCACTGTATCGTAATACAACCCCTACGTTAAGCAACGACGGTGGTCAACTTAAGTACATCTTTATATTTAAATGAATATAAGAGAGGGCTAAAGACTCACGATATGGTTATTAAAAACGTGCCTCTACAATCACTGAGCTCTCATCCGTTTATAATAAATCGGTAATACATCGCATAAATCACTTTGAAATTCAATAAAGTCATATCGACGTACCACCGTGAAAGGTTTAATTTGCAATTAATCAACTCGCGCGATTAAAAATTGAGCTTTTTAAGCTTAGAGCGGGCTTAAATGAAATGTTGAGTTCGTGTTGGAAAATACCTAAGTTAGAATATAATATATATATATATATATATATATATATATATATATATTAGTTAGGGTTTGTAACCCGTTCTGTAAAAACAAAATACAATACTGTCTAATTGTATCTACACTAATATGAAGCTGAAGAGCTGCTTGAAAAGCCCGCGACGCTATATGTCTATCTTTTCAGATTAACTAGCAAAAATGACGGGAAAGGAAGGTGTTACCCACGACGTTGGGGTAACAGCTAAGTTTATAAAGGGGTTTGGAAAACGAATTTAGATGCCCAAAATAACGACGAAGTCGCTGGCACAGCTAGTAAAGAATAAAATTAAAGGCCGTTATTGTACTCGTAAATATGAAATCGATAAGGCCGCGAGATTCTCGCTAAATTTTGTTGTGAATGATGATCGTAAATGAATTCATGTAACACCTGTATGTGTGTTCAGGATTGAGTGAATATAGGACACA